GGAAAGAATAACAATATCGTCCTCAAATGAGTCCACGACTTTCATTTCCCAAATACTACGTGGCCCAATAAGACTTCTTCGGTTGGTTCAAGAAACAAAAAACTTTCATCAAAAAGCACAAAAATCAACCGCCGATAGAGCTAGCTCACAAGAATCAACGGTCGGGATTGATTTCAAACCACTCTCTTGGTTGGTGGGACCCCCACAATTCTCAAAATTCCTCAAAATAACAACCCACGAACAACTCGGGGTCGTATTTGTTACATACGTATCGTTTCTAAAAACGGGGCCGGATTCAAAAGCTTCAGAAAATCTTGACATGTGTTGTTAAGAGATCAGAGATTATATGAAGAAAAACAAAACTGTCAGAGAGAGAAGCGGTGACGAAATGTCATTTAGATCTAGATCAGAGTGGTATATAGGCCATAGGGTGAATTAACATATATTTATATACTATATATATATATATATAAGACTAAATATTATTACTGTTGTTGCTATTATTAGACGAGAAGTTCTTTTGAAAGGAGTGATGATGCAGAGATTTTCCTAACAATCCAATGTATGGCATCTGTAGCCATCTCTGTCTCCATTGGATTTTCCAAAGCCAACTTAGCATTTATTTCCTTTTCTCTCTTTGACCCAATTTTCTTCTTCTTCTTCTTCGGAATCAGAATTCACTAGTTCAAATTCTCTCTCTCTCTCTATAAGAATATTATATAAGAAACGCAAGTTTCTTTATATAACATACATGAAAATGGTGAACATGGGTTTGACAGAGAAATATTTCAAGTGGTCACAAATAGTCTTGGCCATGTTACTAGTGCAAGTCTTCGCAACCGGAATGCAACTTCTGTCAAGAGTAATACTCGTTGAAGGCACCTTCATTTTTGCTCTCATGGCTTACCGCCATGTGGTTGCTGCGATTTGTGTTGCTCCTTTAGCTTTTTACTTCGAAAGGTGATCATTATATATATATATATTCATATGTTTTTGTTAATATTATATTCTTATGAGTTTCTCTTTTTAGTTTTTATTTATGGCTTTCTTTTTTATTATAATGTACGTGATTATGGTTTTTTGCAGAGGTCAGGAAAAGAAGTTTGGTTGGTGGGTTTGGTTCTGGCTCTTTATCAATGCCTTAACCGGGTAAGCCGTGTTTGGTTTTAGTTTTTACCTTGCTTTGTGATGTTTTAGTTTTCATTTCCTTTGGCACATGGTTTGGTAGTAACAATTCTAAGAAAGAATCCTTCAATGATCAAAATCTTGGTTCTTTAATTTTCTTCTTCATCATTAAGATCAGAATGAATTCCAGTCTTCTTTTTCATTTTTTTTTTAGTTTCAGATTCTGAATTTCTCTGATCATAAAACTTCTTCTTATAAAGAAAAGAGTAAATACAGGCAGATGTTGCAACTTACCATATGAGCAACTATTATACTATCGGCAAATACGGTTACTCCTCTCCTTACATACAAGACACATATGTAACGTTTTTACATTAATGTATTTCATTATATATGGAAACAATACATTTATATATATATGTGTGTGTGTGTGTGTGTATAGATATATATATATATATAGAGAGAGAGAGAGAGAGAGAGAGAGAGAGAGAGAGAGAGAATGTCCTACCTTCTGTAGCTAGGAAAACAAATGTGTAAAGCCCTTTTCAAGGGAAATCAGAAAGCAATAATAACATATCTGAGACAAAAAGGAAGCATATCTGAGATACCCATCATACCATGGGCTTAATTAAATGTGATGAAATGGAAATATTGATTGTCTCGAACCAATAATGATGGCAGCCAATGTCGTTATATATGAATAGGAGTGTTCTGACGATATAGCAGATTATGCAGAGAGCCAAAAGGTTTTGCTTTTCAATTATATTCCTATATATGTGCTGTTTTTTGTTTTTTGTTTTGGCACTTTTTTTTTTTTTTTTTCTCTGATGCTGTCTTAGCCTCTATTCTGAAAAGATGACATGTGAGATCAAACTACATACATATTAAATAGGTTACAGGACTGTGACCAAATTTCAACTGCTGAAAAAGTACTTAAAAGATTTTATTCTTTTTGAAGTTTTCTTCTTTGGATGGTAAAAGGGCTTTTATTTTGTTAGGAGGAGGAGAAAACAAGGACTGCATGGTTGTCAAAAGAGTTGTAACTCATTGCATCATCTCACTTTTCCTCAACAACATATATCTTAAAAAAGTTAAAATATAAAATGCCAGGGAATCAATTCATTAATACCAGTAATAGTGACTACAGATAGGCATCATTTTTACACTTGTCATTTTCAATCTGTTAGGCTAAAAGTGCCTTTAAGATTATTTATGGGATCCCAGGATTTCAAATCAAATCATAAAAGAAAAATAAAAAGTCAATGACTTAGCTCTAGCTGACACATTTAGAATAATATATGATCTAATATGGTCCACTAGCTTAGGGACTACAATTACAATATCCTATCAAAGAATATTACTTCACAAAATTTTCCAACTCAGTTATACATTTTATCAGTTTCTAGTCTCTCTTGAGTTGTTAAATCTTACTTGTTGCATGTATATGCAGGATAACATTCGCTATGGGAATGTTCTATTATGGTCTCCGAGACACCACGGCTACATATGCCACTAACTTCCTCAACTTAATTCCAATCGTCACTTTTATCTTGTCCATCATCACTAGGTAACTTTAGACGTTTTATTGAAAAAAATTTAGTAGAATTCTCCTAATTATTTATATAGACAAGAGTTCTTTTCATACTAATATTTGTTTCCATTGAATATGTTTGCAGAATAGAGAAGTTGAAACTACACACTAGGGCGGGTAAAATGAAGACGCTCGGGGCATTATTATGCGTTGCTGGAGCTTTAACAACCAGTCTTTACAAGGGAAAAGAATTCTATATTGGTCATCACCATATTGAGTCCCATATCACTGTCAAGACAGCTGATGCTCATTCGGCACGTGGCACGTTCTTGTTGGTCGGGAGTTGCCTCTCCTATTCAACATGGTTCATAGTGCAAGTAAGTTCATATATGCATCAGTCACACAACTATTAGCACCTTCTTTTTTTACCTTTCAATCTTTTATAGTGCTTAATGTCTACTTAAAAGGACAACGTCTGGTGATGAATATCACACAGAGTGGCCATTACTTGGCAGGCCCAAACCTTATTCTTTCATTTTCTTTTCTGGGTACTACAGGTTAAGCTGCAAAAAGTTTTTCCATTCAAATATTGGGCAACTATGTTGACATGCATTATAGCATCCTTACAATCATTGGTTATAGGCCTATGTTTGGATAGACACAAAGCTGCGTGGAAATTGGGCTGGAATCTACAACTCGTTACTATAATCTACTCGGTGAGCTTACTACAGAATTGATATTACATAATTACCATCATACAGTTTCTAAATTTAGAATTGGTTATTGAACTGCAAGGTCAAGGGGGGGTTTTCCTCTGGTGCAAAATTTTTTAACTTATGAAATAATTGTTAGTGAAGGCGGGCCTTGGCACCGTGGTGGGAGCGCTTGCGTTTGCACCCGGGGTTCAGGGTTCGAATCCCGGAAACGGCCTCTCCTTTAGGGGGTAAGGCTGCGTACATATGGGATTGAGCTTTCTCCTAAACCTGTCGTAGTACGGGAGCCTTTTTAACACTGGGGTCCGCCTTTTTGAGCGCTTGCGTTTGCACCCGGGGTTCAGGGTTCGAATCCCGGAAACGGCCACTCCTTTAGGGGGTAAGGCTGCGTACATATGGGATTGAGCTTTCTCCTAAACCTGTCGTAGTACAGGAACCTTTTTAACACTGGGGTCCGCCTTTTTTTTATGAAATAATTGTTCGTCATTTATGATATCTTTTTTTATTTATCCTAACAATTTTATGTGTGATTGTTTAATTTAAAGTAGATGAATCAGCTTATAATAACTTCTGCACTATTTGTATTTGAAGTCTACTAAACATACATGACACGTGGAATTTTACTCGAATAGGGATCACTTGCCACAGCAACAACATTCTGCTTACTCTTATGGGTAATCTCAAAGCGAGGCCCCACTTATCCTTCCATGTTCAACCCGCTCACTCTAATCTTTGTGGCTTTATCAGAAGCTCTAGTACTTGGTGAAGCCATCAGAGTCGGAATGTAAGATTCCTTTCCCTTTCATATACCTAAAATTTGATATTTTTGAATTGGAAATTTGATTTATATATATATATATGTATATGTGTATATTATATATTTTTGGCAGTTTGCTTGGCACGGTGTTCATCCTACTTGGGTTGTACTCCTTTTTGTGGGGACAAAGAAAGGAGATGAAAAGCTTGGCTCAGCAAAGGGTAGAAGCTGATGAGGAACAAGGAAAAACAAACAATGAGCCTGCAGGATCACAGTTGACAGCCACAGTAGTGCCAAGTAGTTCTCCTACTCTAGACAATAATATTGGTAGTGACATTAATGCTAAAGATCAAGCTGTTCATAAAAGCACTGTATAGTATTAGTATTTCTTTATCAGTACATTACTGTAGGTTTATCACAAAACCCATATAAAATTGAATCCCATCAAGATCTACATTGTAACTCTGTTGATCCCAGAAAATAAATCTTGAGCTATCCCTTTTTTCATTTAAACAAAAAAAGTAGAAATTTTCTTCTCTTTTTTCCTCCTTGTTGAACTCAAAATTAAAACAGATCATAGTCATGATTCATTACAGTCAACTGAGATTTCATAAAAATCCTTATTATATAGTAAGACATGATAAAAGTCAACTGAGAAAAGAGCCTAAACTGAGAAAAGCTTGTCTAACAATTGGATGAACATCAGATGAGTTAAGAGCAATGTAACAGTAAACCAACTCCTCAATGTCATTCCAATCACAGACACCATCCACATCTTGGATCATCTCCATTATCGATTCCCTCAAATCCGAAATCGGGTCGGCCGTGCACTTCACCACACACGTGCTTCCTGCAAAAACACCACAAACATCACCAGGCAAGCTAGCTGAAAGGCTTATGGTTACCTTGTTTTTATGTCTCTTGATCAGTGGCATTTTGTTCTTCAACTTTTGGGCAAATGCAACAAATAAATACAAACTTATGGAGTATAAAAGAGATATATTGGTTTATGTAGCCAAGATGCAATGCATGTTATGTTTATATATTTATAGTCAAAAAGAAGGATCAAACCGTGAAGGAAGGTGAGAGAATTCATGTGAAAGTTGTTAATAAGGAGCCAGTAAATCATTTATGAATTAGTACCAAGGCACAAAATTCAAATATGTGACACTTGACATTATTGGTTCAAAACCTGATTTTTGGGCCATTATTGTTATGCAACTGCAAAAGGCCCAAATGCTAACCATTTCATGAATTGGGTTTCTGGTCAACTTGGACTTTTCCTGCTTAGAAAAATAGGAAATAGTAGAAAATGGCCAATATGAAAGTTTAAGAAAGTATATAGGTTAATTTTTAGTTATAGAAATTAATAGGACATAACTTGTCAAGTTATAGTTTATAATCAAATAAATTATAGACAAACTTATTAAGTTATGGTTCATAACCAGACAAGTTATGGACGAAAATATTAATTTGGCATATTTATTAACTTATATAAACTATTGACTTATTAATTTTAATTCATCTCAAGTTTTGACATATTTTCCTCTTTCTCTCTAGAAAAATGTTGCTGAATCGTTAATGGTTACTCTGTGAAACTCTTCTTTTTATGCGTTTCATAAAGAAACATAAACACAACTGTATGCCTTAATTAGCTTTAGTCGAAAAAAGTATAGTTTTTAGCACTTTTACCTCTTGAATTTTTCGGATTTTGATAGGTTACAAACTAAATTGTAATTTTGATAATCTACACCTTCAAAAGAATTATGATTTATATCTATTTCTGTTTATGCACTATTTTGACAGAATGGAGCAATAGTCAATTTTATATTAGTCAAGAAACTTCATCTAATTTATATATTTACAGATAACAAGTCGATAAGCAATGCATCTTTTGTTAAGAGTAAAATGTGGGACTCTAAGTATTTACTCCTAACATCTTCTTAGTCCAAACTCAGGTTGAAGATTGTAAATAAGGAGCCAATGAAGATTATATATATATATATATATATAAGAGGATTGATCATTTGTGTAGCTTGAAAAGACTGATATCTCTCATTTTTTAAGTTTTAAATTATAAGAATTACAACGTGGCTTCAACTACCCAAGCTTTTACACATTAATAATACAATGGACTCTTTTCCTCTCCTTATAAGACTTGAGGCCCACTATTATTAGGGAGGAATTTATAAGAAGCAACTGTCTAGTCACTATAATTTTTTTTTTGAATAGTAGTTATTATGGATGTGTTTGAAATTCGTTTTAAAATGATTTTATTTTTTGTATGAAAATGAAAATAAAAATATTTTTAATTTTAGACATAAATCATTTTTAAAAATGCATTTGATAGTTTTATCAAGAAATTATTTTCGTGTGAAAAAACATATTAATGTTTTTCTTTCTCTCTGCTCAAGAGAGGAGAAAATAAAAATAAAAAATAAAAAACGACTAAAAGTTATTTTTCATTTCTCTCTCATTTTACATTAAACTAAAAAATTATTTTCATTTATATTTTTTGTTTTTATTACGTCAAACGCCGTTTTAAAAACGTTTTTATTTTTTTAAAAAAAACGTGAAAAATAAAAACGAAATCAATTCTAAATACCGCTTATAATTTTAGTATTAAGTATGTTCAATTCACCAGATCAAATAGTTGAGTAGTATTCCTTTTAAAATGAAAAAGTTGAGTTAGTGTCAAGTCTTCAACAGAAATTAGATTTCTATTTTTTAGAAGTCCTTTCAGAAGATTGGATATGCAAATCCATTAAAAATTTCATAATGACTAAGATTGACTGAGAAATATTCATGACTATCATTTACCTCTTCTGTATACTAAAAAGCCAAACTCTACTTTTTTTTTTTTCCGGCTAAGAAGCCAAACTCTACTTGACCATGTCTTAGTTCATTGATGTGTTTTGTATGGTGTAAAGTCACCACGTGGCCCTTTTTCTACCACAAAATGAATCACAAATTGTTTTCCGAGATTACCTTATCAGCATATTATGTAGGGCCGAAAGTTCAATTGGGTTGGGACTTTAGATAAAACTGCAAGGAATATTCAGGGTTTTGGATGTAATTAAAAGTTAAATTAAATTAAAAAAAATAATACATATCTGCTGACTGTTAAACAAAAAACATAATTTCGACCCGGTAAATTTTTTAATATAATATTATTCTGTATGATTTGACAGTTTAAAATTATGTTCTAGTATTTTTTTTTTATGTCTTTAATTTCTTACCTTATGAAAATAGTGTTATTCCATAGACAGTGGATAATGTCAAGACTCAAGAGTCAAGATCTTTGCTTCAACTCATTTGCCGACTAGAAATCCATTTGAAAAAAAAGTGCACCGCCCAAAACCATTTCTGTCGTTGTCTCGCTGTTGTTACTTGTTAGGCACAAGTTGGGGATTACTTTTTTGCTTCAAATGGGGTCCTCTATTAATAGCACTTTATGCTTCAATAAATTCTGCAACCTATTTCGTTAATGTTGAGAAACTTTTAAAGAAAACAAAAATCTTAAGGGTACTAGATATTAGATATTTGTTTTAAATGTGTGCCAAGTGGGAACAAGGTAGGATGATACATTATTTTTAAAAAGGTTTTCAGTTTCACTTTTTTTTTTTTATTTTCACTTTAACACGTAGATTTTATTATCGGAAATAGTAAAAAATATGTCAATATGAAAAGCTTAAGGAAGTATATAGGTCAACTTTTAGTTATAGAAATTAATAGACCATAACTTATTAAGTTATGGTTCATAATCAGATAAGTTATAGACAAACATGTCAAGTTATAGTTCATAGTCAGATAAGTTATGGACAAAAATCGTTATTTATGGACAATAACTTGTCAATTTATAGTTCATAACCAGACAAGTTATGGACAAAAACAGTAATTTGGCCTATTTATTAACTTATATAAACTATTAGCTTATTAATTTTAATTCATCTCAAGTTTTGTTCTATTTTTCTCTTTCTCCCTTTTATTATCTAGTGAAGTTTACATATCAAACAGTAAATAAAAATAATCACAAAAAAATTAATAAAAAAATGACATTAGTATTTTTTTTATTTAAATTATCCACGACACTAATAACAAAAATAAAAATAAAATAACTACGCACACCAACTCAGGCCCCGTTCACTTCGCTGATTCGAGTTTAGAATTCGAGTTGAGATGTGACTTTATGTGAGAGTTTTTTACTGTAGTAAAAAAGTTAGATGTGATTGTTTATGAGAATTTTTTACTGTAGAAAAACTCGAATTCTAAACTCAAATCAGTGAAGTGAACAGGGCCTCAGCCTCGAGCTGTTAGGTACTAGTACTACGTATCCAATACCATTTTAACTCCTTTTTTTTTTAAGTTTCCAAGAAAAAAAATGTGTGACATGCTAAGCAGCCAGTGTAATATGTATTATTTTTAAGTTTATGAGTGACGTAGTGGTGTCTCCTATATCCTAAACAAACAATCCGATCGTGTCATGCAATATAGGTTTAAAAAAAAAAAAAAACAGAGATATATTTGCCTCTTCAATCTCATTGCATTGTTATTTAATTTTCTTTCGTTTCTTTTTTTCATACTCTACACCATCACCGTATGTTGGTTGCTTGGTGGCTTGGTGCAATATCAGTTGTAGTTAATAAGATCGGTTCTTATCCCACCACATCATTAAATTTTTATATTTAATAGATAATCACAGTAAAAATATGTTGATTGCTTAGTGGCTTGATGCAATATAAATTGTAGATAATAAGATCGGTTTTTATCTCACCACATCATTAAGTTTGTATATTTAATAAATAATCACAGTAAAAATATAATTATTAAAAACTCGTATATATATAGGCTTATTTAGTTCGCTGATTTAAGTTGAGATGTGACTTTATGTGAGAGCTTTTTACTATAGTAAAAAAATTAGATGTGATTGTTTCTGAGAACTTTTTACTGTAGCAAAACTCGAATCAGTGAAATAAACAAGACCATAATATGTCAACATTTTATTGTTCACTACAAAAAGAGATGAGAACAATCCAAATCAATCCCCCCACATCACCATTTCCTAAAAAAAAAAGAAAAACAAAGAAGAAGAAAAACTCACACACATCACCGTGAGGTCCGTGACTAAATGGTCATAGAGAGGAATTTCAAGCTTTAGAGAAAAGGATATTTCACTTGCCTATTTCAATTAAAATTTTTCTTCCACGTTCCCAAAAAAAAAAAAAATTCAAATTTGAAATGTGAATTAATGAATAATGACCGCATAAGTTGTCCACTTCGCAAATATTTGGTTGCATTGTCTGTTTCCCTTACAGTCATACTAATGCTTATATATGTATAATCTTGATAAATATTTCTTAAAAATGTATTAATTAAGATTTTTATTATTTATTATTTATTCATAATTTTTTTAATTAAATAATTATACTAATAAAAAAATATTTATTAAGAATAAGGAGTTAAAGTTTAGACTCATTCAATTTCAAGGATAAATTTTCCATTTTTTTCCTTATAAATATATATGCATATATAGCCAATTAATATACAATGAATGTGATTATTGCCCCTGGTATATACTACCGAAAGCTGTTTTCTATGAATCTCATAACTCCACAGTTGACTTAGATTACTAATGTTTTCAATAGAAGAAATGAAGGAAAAATATTCTTTAGTGTTAAAGATTAGTAAGAGACTTGGTCCACAAGTAATGAGTCTCTACACCGACAAAGACATGAAGAAAAATGGAACGTATATGAATTAAAAAAAATCTACAAATTAATGGAACATAAAAAAAAGTAGACAGTCTACGCACTTATGAATTTTTATTTTATTTTATATTTTGGTATAAATTCTTCTTAGATTTACAATATTAGAGTAAAAAATACGTAAATCTAGTAAAAGTCACTAAAGTCTTTAAAATGATCTAGATTTACGTATTTTTTACTCTAAGAAGCCATATTACACCGAGAGAATATTTTTATATATTCTACCAGAATTACCTTAAAGTTAACCACATGTGACTAATCAGCCGTCAGTGTAATAAACAATGTATATCTATCCATCTTTTTATTATTAAAGCTCGTTTAGTTCGCTAATTTGAGTTTTTAATTTGAGTTAAAATATGATTTTATGTGAGAATTTTTTACTGTAATAAAAAAATTAAATGTGATTATTTTTTAGAGTTTTTTACTGTAAAAAAATTCAAATTCTAAACTCGAATCAATAAAATGAACGATTTTTAATATGTTTTTGATGTGTTTCTTTTTCTTCTATCAATAAGGGTTTTTTTTTCATGTAGATTTATAGCGGTTTGATCTCGATATAAAGGCCATCTCTACGACTAAATACTCGAGGGTTTCATTATATAATGAACAATGCACAAGATTACAAGAAATAAGAAGTGATTGATAAGAGATGGTCTTCAATATTGAATGGAAGTTGGTCTCGTTCGTTTCGTTGATTTGAGTTTAGAATTCGAGTTGAGATGTGATTTTATGTGAGAGCGTTTTACTGTAGCAAAAAAATATAAAATTAGATGTGACTGTTTGTGAGAGCTTTTTACTGTAGTAAAACTCAAATTCTAAACTCAAATCAGCGAAACAAACGAGTTATTTGTTCTGATTGACTTTCTCCATTGCCTTCCTTGTTGTGCACTCTTATTCAAATGAGATCTGCTCCTCTTTATAGAAGTTCGTTTCTTATTTCTCAGTTTGGAAAGCCTAACATTTTGTACTAGTAATAAGTTTTCTATTTTCGCGGTTCGAAAGTACTATGAGTCGAGAGCCATTCTAGATTATTTTAGGGTTTTTGAAGTACTATGGAGTCGAGAACCATTTTAGATTATTTTAGAGTTTGTTTAGTTCGTTGATTCGAATTTTTAATTCGAGTTGAGATGTGACTTTATGTGAGAGTTTTTTTATTGTAATAAAAAAGTTAAACGTGACTGTTTATGAGAGTTTTTTTACTGTAATAAAACTTAAATTCTAAACTTGAATCGATAAAATAAATGAGGTCTTAAAGTTTTTAAATGAATTGTGTTGACACATATCTAATGAAAAACGAAGTACGCAATCTTACCTCAATAATTTACGATAAAAAGCCATATTACACCGAGAGAATATTTTTATATATTCTACCAGAATTCCTTAAAAGTTAACTACATGTAACTAATCAGCCGTCAGTGTAATAAACAATGTATATCTATCCATCTTTTTATTATTAGTTTCTCCATCTTTTGAGCAGCCCTTCAGCAACTTTCGGCGCGAATAAAAAAAGATCAGAAGTAAAAAATTTGCCCCTTTTTAATTCACGTAATGCACGTTATGGGTCCGTTCAGTTCGTTAATTTAAATTGAGATGTGATATTATATGAGAATTTTTTACTGTAATAAAAAAGTTAAATATGACTGTTTATGAGAACTTTTTACTGTAATAAAATTTAAATTTTAAACTCGAATTAACGAAATGAACGAGTCTACATTTATTCTTTATTCTCCTCAAATTAATCTCCACCGCACTTTTCACTGCACATTCACTTTCATGAAGGAAGTCTTCCATAAAATCGAATCTAAAAGAAAAAAAAGACTTCCACGAATATTCGAATGATCGAATCCATTCTAGAAGTTTCGGTTGAAAGTCACTCTCAGGAAAAAAAAAATGTTATTTTTGTAATTACACACATATATATGTCTATATAATTCATTTAAAAAAGCCTCTGAAGCCAAAGGAGACTAAGGCCACGTTCATTTCATCGATTCAAGTTTTATTATAATAAAAAACTCTTAAAAATAATCACATCTAACTTTTTTACTACAGTAAAAAGTTCTAACACATCTCAACTCGAATTAAAAACTCGAATCAACGAACTAAACGGACCCTTATTATACCATGTCATGCATAGTCAATTTCAATCCTATTTTATTTACCTGCACCACCTTCAACATTCTCGCACCCCTATCTATTTATTTCTAATCCTGTGATTTTTTTTATTTAAAAAAAAGCAAAATTGTTTTCTATTTGAGTTAGTTTTCCGTTTGTTTGTTAATGTTTTCTGTATCTGAACAGGATCCAAGTTGCCGCGAGAGCGATTACAGGGCTTTTTGGATGACCAGGAACCAAAGCATATTGGATTGGCTCTTGTATGAAAGATCCTCCATTATTTGCCTTCAGGTTTTTCTTTTTTTCTTTCTTTTTTATTTCTTTTGGTCTCTTAGACTTACAATATTAGAGTAAAAAAATACGTAAATCTAGTAAAAGCCACTAAAGACAGAGGACGTTTGATTGTAAGATTCAAATCATGTGATTCGAATCATTTTTAATTTACGTGTATTTTTTGTGAGAGAAAATACTGTAGTGAATTACGAATCATGATTCGAATCAGAGAACGAATCCCTCTGTCAAACATCCTCTTGATGCTTCATAGTTGCGTAGTATTATTCTAAAAAGATAAGAAGTAAGAAATTTGCCCTTTGATTAATTCACGTAATGCACATACATTTATTCCTTATTCTCCTCAAATTAATCTCCACCGCACTTTTCACTCCCATAGTCACTTTCATGAAGGAAATCTTCCATAAAATCAAATCTAAAAGGAAAAAAAAAAGTTATTTTCGTAATTACACATCTATATATCTGTCTATATAATTCATTAAAAAAAAAAAAGGCCTCAGATTAACGAAGCCAAAGGAGACTATAATTATGCCATGTCATGCATCGTCAATTTCAATTGTATTTTATTTTTGAATAAAACATGGCCGTCAAATTTCACTAGAAAAACCATGACCGTCAATTTGAATTCTATTTTTTTTTTGTTCTCCAAAGGGACGAGAAGGAATTTTTCAAAAATATGCCAACCTAGACATTCTTTTTCCTTCTTCAGCAACCCCACCCATACGTGTGTGTGTGTATATATAGATACAGCAATATATAATTTTATGTGCTTCGGAGTTCGTGCAAGTTTATTTGCCACACAATACGTTGAAGAAGAAGAAGAAGAAAAAAAGAAGACAACAGATTGAGGTTGGCAAACGTTTGTTCCCCCCCCCCCCAAAAAAAAAAAAAAAGAAAAAAACGCACAAAAAAAAAAAAAAGTGGTTTCTGTTATGTTCTGTTCACTTGTTGCTGCGGATTTGCCAATCGCCAATTGTATTTATTTTTGGTTTCTATTGTTTTAGCCGGCAGTTTTTTTTGTCTCGTTTTTTCTTTCTTTCTTTCACTAACGTCCTTGTTCGTGTAGTAAATAAATACAAAACCCAAAAGAGGCTCCTCCCACATTTACCGGTATTTCCGTTAAAACTTTCTTCCTTCCGCAAACCAACTCCACAGAAAACCAAAAAAAAAAAAAAAAAAAAAGCTCTTTCCTTTTTTCCTTTTCCATTCTCCATTCTTTACATCCAAATCCAATAAAACCAAATCAAAACAAGAGATCGAGGAGGGGAATGAGAAAGGAGAGGAAGAGGAAGATGAAGGGAAGGATATCGAGAATCGGAAGTTACGCGATTTCGTCATCGATAAGAGACCAACACCAACAACTACAGCCTTGCATTACCTGCACCACCTTCAACATTCTCGCCCCTATCTATAAGCGCCTCAACCACGAGGTGTTCTTATTTCTAATCCTGTGATTTTTTTTTTATTTTTTAAAAAAAGCAAAATTGTTTTCTATTTGAGTTAGTTTTCCGTTTGTTTGTTAATGTTTTCTGTATCTGAACAGGATCCAAGTTGCCGCGAGAGCGATTACAGGGCTTTTTGGATGACCAGGAACCAAAGCATATTGGATTGGCTCTTGTATGAAAGGTCCTCCATTATTTGCCTTCAGGTTTTTCTTTTTTTCTTTCTTTTTTATTTCTTTTGGTGTCTTTAAATCGTTGGGTTTTCATCAAATTTCGTTAAATTTGTACTTTTTTTTGGTCTTTTCCAAAGTGGAGTTTTTGTTTTTGTTTTTGTTTTTTGTTTTTCTTTTTTTAAATGTGTTGAGTAAAATGGTGAAACAGGAATTCTGGGTGGGGAATGAAGAACTTGTAAATATATATGAGAAGAGGCTTGGGGCTGCTGGTTATACGAGTTTCAAGCTTGGGCGCACCAACAACCGTGGCGATGGTAGAGTTTCTCTTTCGTATTCAATTCAAAATGAGACATTATCATCATGATCATTAGTTTCTTCTTATTATGTTTAGTTCGCTGATTCGAATTTTTAATTTGAATTAAGATATAATTTTATGTAAAAAATTTTTACTGTAGTAAAAAAATTAAATATGATTGTTTCTTAAAACTTTTATTTTATAATAAAATTTAAATTTTAAACTCTAATCAGTAAAATAAAAAAGATTTTAGATTCTCTCTTTTTGAAAAATATGTTTAAAGTAGCATTTCTTTGTTCTTTAATCATTGGAATCCTACTTTCCCTTTTGGCCAGAAAAGCCTTTTTTTTTTTTTTTTTTTTTTTTTTCCG